TCATTCGCTATGATTTTTTTGAATTCAAGCATAACTATTAAGTTAAACATCAATCTATGTGGTGTAATATCTCAAAAAGTAATTGAGATATCAACATAAGAAAAAAGCGTTTAAAAGCAAATTTTATTATTGTTTAACGTATTCAAACTCATTTTGTCAAATCTTCAAATTTCGAAGTTATGAATTTTTTAATTCAGTCGGTATCACGAATATTGGGTTAAAAGGCATCAATCTTTAAGGAATTATATCTCAAAAAGTAAATGTGATATCAAGTTGAGATAAAAAGTATTTGAAAGGGAATTTAATTAACATTTAATGTGTACAAGATCGAATTTTTAAAATTTCAATTTTTGAAGTTATGATTTTTTGAATCAACCATAAGCATAGATATTAAATTAAACACATCAATGTGCATGGTATTGTATCTCTAAAAGTAATTGAGATATCAACATGAGATAAAAAGCGTTTAAAAGGAAATTTTATTATTATTTAACGTATTCAAAGTTATTTCTTCAAATTTTCAAATTTCGAGGTTATGACGTTTTTAATTCATGCAGTATCACTAATGTTGGGTTAAAAGACATTAATCTTTAAGGAATTATATCTCAAAAAGTAATTGTGATATCAAGTTGAGATAAAAAGTATTTGAAAGGGAATTTAATCAACATTTAATGTGTACAAGATCAAATTTTTAAAATTTCAATTTTCGAAGTTATGATTTTTTGAATTCAACCATAAGCATAGATATTAAGTTAAAAACATCAATCTAGATGGTATTGTATCTCTAAAAGTAATTGAGATATCAACATGAGATTAAAAGCGTTTAAAAGCAAATTTTATTGTTATTTAACGTATTCAAAGTCATTTCTTCAAATCTTCAAATTTCGGAGTTATGAATTTTTTAATTCATCCGCTATCACAAATATTGAGTTAAAAGGCATCAATCTTTAAGGAATTATATCTCAAAAAGTAATTGTGATATCGAGTTGAGATAAAAAGCATTTGAAAGGGAATGTAATCAACATTTAATGTGTACAAGATCAATTTTTTAAAATTTCAATTTTCGAAGTTATGAATTTTTGAATTCAACCATAAGCATAGATATTAAGTTAAAGACATCAATCTGCGTGGTATTGTATCTCTAAAAGTAATTGAGATATCAACATGAGATAAAAAGCGTTTAAAAGCAAATTTTATTATTATTTAACGTATTCAAAGTCATTTCTTCAAATATTCAAATTTCAAGGTTATGAATGTTTTAATTCAATCGCAATCATCAATATAGAGATTAAGACATCAATATTTAGCGAGCTTTATCTCAAAAGCTAATCATAAAAAGCGTTTAATAGCAAATTTAATTAATATTTCATATATTCAAGATCATTTCTTCAAATTCTTCAATCTTCAAATTATTTATGAAAACCTATTTTGAATGAGTAAGAATGGGATCTAGGAATGTTTTAGGAAAAATGACACCGAAAACGTTGATATATAATCGTCTTTCATAAGATTTAAATTGCCGTTTTAAAACTACGAACCGTCACGTTTCATCGAAAACTGTCGTTAAGCAGAAATTAAACTGTGAAGTATGCGCCAACTTGCTTGAAAGTCTTCATTAGTTTGTGTTTTCGAGAACCAGACGACGACGTCGGCGACGCTGTCTCTAAGGGTATGAATAAAGTTTGTCGAGCTCTCAGATTAAATAGTTAACCTGTTGGATGCATCGTTAACTATGCATTATCATGCGGTGTTGAACATTAATTTCGCCTGTTTTTAACTTGTATTAATTGTAATCAATGTGGAACGTTAGATTACGTGGGAATGAAAACGAGGCAATCCGTGCGATATGAAGCGATTTAAAACGGGTCCAAAAGCATTAACGAAATGGTCGTTTAAACCCTATTATTGATTTCGACCGGGTATCTTACGGTGAAATAACGTGCTCGAAATGCGAAAAAGCGGCGAACGAAGGTTCTTTTTTTCCTGCGATCTGATGTAACCTAGAAAAAGCCAAATCTAAATCTTGTTTTTAGACTAAATCTAAGAAAGATTAAAGTGAATTATAAAAGGAAAAAGCGACTCTTTTTTATTTGTGTTGGAAATTGTAGAAATGTCGTGGAAATATCGTAGTCTTCGGTTCTGATATTGTAGCTTTTCCAGTAATAATTTCTACGGGCGACCGACTTCAACTGCCGCTGGCCGATTTCTTCGAAAAAGTTAATTGAACCTATCGGAAAAAGGAATTGGCGAAATTAATTTTCTGCCCGCGTTGCGGCCACGTCCGCCACAATTATTGTAACTTTATTACGTGTTTCCAAGGGTAATCGTTGTTTTTTTCTCTTCTTTTCACTCAGAAATAATTTATTACGGCCACAAATCTTTTTCATTTTAGATTTTTTCTTATCGGATTATTATAATTTTATAAAAAACGCTGTAAAGGAAATCTTGTTTTTTGATTACGGCGTAGTATTAATTATAAGATGTTGGGCTTCAATTAAGAGGATAACCTATTAGCAAAAACAACGAATACATCATTAATTTAAATTTAAACATTTAATTTACGTAGAATGCAAAACAATGTCTAAATGTGGCAATACATTTTTAATAATGAGAATATTTGCACAATTATCTGATCATCTACTATTGGATTAATTATTAAAATAAATACAAAATAAAAATATAAAGAAGCACCAAAGGTATATTTTAAAATAAATAATACAATATAAATAATAAAAAAATATATCATAAAAAACTAAAAGTTTTCTTAATAAACAATTTTTAAATTTTTTCAAAAATTTTCTGATATAAGGGTACTAAAATTTTACATCATCGTAAAGAGAAACGAAAGGGTACATTGCCATTTAAAAAAATTCAAGTGTTATTCGTTGCTCATTTGTTTTCTGAAATATAAACAATTGAATGCTGTCTTATTATGGCAAATAAAATATTAAACAACTTTTGTATAAAATGTTTTTTTATAAAGTCAACATTTACCGAGATATATACTATATTCCATAAATAATGGGCACCCTGTATAAAAATATATGGTGGTTCTGTAAGTGGTGGCATAATTTCAACCACATATACTGCTAGAGCAAAAATTATGACAACTAGTGTAAACATTTTTAATCTTTAAATACAGGTTGATTTATTAGCTCACCATCAAACTTTGACATATGATAGCTAAT